CTTTCACACATTATATCATAGTTGAATGGTCCACATAAAGAAAGTGATCACACCTGCAGGTGTATGTTATATACATGTATAAGGTCTCAAAACTGAATTTTACCAAGGTTGTGCATTTAGGACTCAAGTGTCCAATTAATCTCCACCTTTTAAAATCTACCTGTACCGTGAACAAATAGAACAAACAAATAGCTACGATAAGTTATACAGTGTGAACTGTGCGGCGTTGTCCTAGTGGATGAAAAGAGGCACATCAGACTGGAAGGTCGCTGGTTTGAGTCTATGGACTGACAAAAATATCTGGACTGTAGGATGGACCAGACCTGGATCTGCTAGAGTCCAATAGGACAGATGGACTCTCCCTATCCCACTGTCTAACTTCCCCAACATCTGCTCCCCAGGCACTTTCAATAGTTGCCCACTGCTCCATGTGGTCACTGTGTGTATTGTGTTCCGTGTGTGCTGTGTTCACACAGATGGGTTAAAAGCAGAGGTCAATTTTCCCCATGTTGCATGTAGTGCTGTGTGTGCATGATTGTGGGATAATAATAATTAATCTTAATCTGTCTTTCACAGATGCTTATCCCAATAGGGTCATTTAGATCCAAAATAAAGATTTCAATGTAAAGAGATGCTTTCATCTCAATGGAGCTGGGACTTCATCGTCTATTAAAAGTAAAGGAATCAGGCTGAATCCGATATATATACTGTGTGTCTGCACCTGATTCATTATAACGTGATGAATCATCCAACAGATTTGTCCTCTCTGTCAGGTAAATCACTTCTATGGATCATTTCTCTTCTGACCTTGTGCAGAAAACTGGCGTGTATTTTACAATGTATAACTTCAGACCAGATGAATAATTATAAGCTCATTGTCACATTAGGATTTTTAATTACACATGACTTACAACCTTTTGCTGATGGTTCATTAGAAAGTGAGAAATCTGTGAATGGTGACACTCATTATTAAACATTTATTTGTCTTTATTAATGACTTATTCTTATTCTAATTAATGACTCATGGCATTTTCCTCAGGTAAACCATGTGTGAAGCTCCTTTGATAAATAATGCATCCACCCCAATATAAAAGGCCTTTTTCTCTGAAGACAAGTGACATGTCACAGTAGGAAAAGCACATGTGTCGATCAATAAAATCAATGATTAGTTCCAGTTATCTGCTTCAGGTCAGGTCAGGCCAGTACCAGAACCTCAGATCATAAGAAGTTTTCACAAACGTTTCTGTGTCATTTCAAAATGACTGTGAAGTTGAAGGGAATTTGGTTTGTGGTACTCACAGCAGTGAGTGAGAGATAAGCAACTTTATAACGTGTTTTCTAAATTTGGTCACATTTGGGGCCCCAAACCATTTATTGAGAAACAGTTGCAGAGCAGAAATGGCCATCGGCATGACTGGGGAGGAAGAGGCCCATGTTTCAGACTAGGCTGACCTATGGTTACAAACGCTGTTCCTGATGAAAAATAGATCTAAACTATAAAAGGCTGTGATGGATGCTGTTACAGTTACACCTTCAACGGCTTGGGTGCAGACCTTCATTGTTGGGGAACCAATTTTCTTTACGCAACCTTGACTTGTGGTGGGATTCCCCCCGGCTTGGTGCTGGACATCTGCCGGAAAGAGGCCAGCCACAGTGGGGATGTGCAGCCTGGTGTCGGGCTCTGTGCAGCAGAATGAAGCCACAGGGCAGGCCTGCATGCAACCGCTGGCCAGGGCCTCAAAAGTCTGTTATAACTGGCTCGCACTACATCAGCACTACATATCTAATTTAAAACTGACAGGAACCTGATCCGACTGTGAACATGAAATCCTAATAAGTGAGTGAAGGAAAACATGGCAGGAGATTCTGCACAAAATATTCCTAAATCGTTGATTTTATTTATTTCATGTACATTCAATTTGCATGTAACTTTATTGCATAGGTTCAATGTAAAGGGTCACAGTTATTGAAGTGTTTTCTATCATGTTGAGTTAGGTGGAATAAATCAAATAACTTGAGAGTGGTTTGATTAAAAAATATGTGTTTAATGTATATATTTACTGTATGAAGTTTAACTTTAAATCACTCTCAAATTGGGATTACAGCACACATTCACTGAGAATAAATACAGATATTCATGAGGCTAATTAATTGTGCTAAAACAATAAATATATCTGAGACCATATGTATATATATATATATATATATATATATATATACATGTTTAAATTATTTACTTTACTGTGTTATTTCCAAACATTACATGTCGGCTATCTCAGAAGTCTGTTAAGCAACCGAAACAATCCTCAGACCAAATTTTGTATATTTTCAGAATCAAAGCTTGGTAATTCAACTCAATACTAAGCATTATCACAACAAAATGAACATCATGCTTTTACTTTGAAGAAAATTTGCTTACAGTTTTTCTGAATTGCTAAAACACTAATTCCTGTTGTGTGAATCAATTGCTCAGTTGTCTAAACTCATTCACTGAATTGAGCATCATTTTGACATCTTCACCAAAACACTATTTGCAGATCTCAGTCCTTCCTTTTGCAAAACTCTAAACACATGCTCATGCATAAAAACACAGTTGTCACTGTGATGCATAATGGTAAAAACCAGTGGCAAAATATGAACACAAATGAAACACATGAATCATACATTGAACACAACGATTCAAAATTGATCACACTTGTTTCTCTTCATGTCATGACAACATGACAACCAATATAAGCCAGTTCAGAGTGCAAGCAGGTTGTTCCTGCAAGCTCATGACAACAATGGATCATAGACACAGAGGACGAGTGTGTGTAAGAGGAGGCAGAGGCGGAGGAGAAGAAGGAGGCAGAGGAAGGCGAAGAGTGGCAATTTCTAATGGTGGTACAGTAATATAACACTGTGTGCTGCTATAAGCAACCAGGGTGTTCTTCACCATCATGCCACTCTGGGGCCATATACTGTAACACCCAGCTCCTTCTCACCTTTCTTGGGGCTCTTAGAGATGTGTTGAATGAACAGCAGGAACATGAGATGATTGAGCGGCCTATTTATGTTATAATTTGGGACAATGTTAGTTTTCACCGTGCTGTCCAAGTCAGAGAATGGTTCAATATGAATCAGAATATCATTACAGTAATCCACTTGGAGATGGAAGGTGTACGAGCGACACCTTCTTGCCTGGCAAAGGCAAATATAACGTGTGATGTGGATGAAGTGCTGTGGCCTGACCCAGCCCGAAGACAGGATGACGCTCAATGAAGCTCAATGATCAACTGTGTAAAGTACTTTATTGTGACCAATAATCATTTCTCCATGAGCAACATGCCTTAACCACTGTGTAAAAGGAAGCGATTCTATGAATGTTGTTGCCATGACAGAGATCAGCACTGTGTCTCTGTTAGTCCAATATGGTGAAATAAAAATAATCAAATCATCAAAATGATCTTTCGTGACAGATATGATGGGAAGCTGGCTGATCAGTTACTGCCCACTGCTGTAGTTTATCCAAGGACATAAACGAAAACAAGTTCAACTCAATCCACAGACTTCGAGCAAACTGCCCTGCCCCCACTGACTGCTACAGAGTGCTGGTTGCCTGTTTTTTACTATTTTTATTCATATTGAACATATCCAACGTCCAAATAAAAAAAAACTTGGCTGTGCATTTCCTCTGGCAATTTACAATGACAAAAGTGAAATCAATTAAATGAACAGTTTGCAAGATATGTATCCCAAATACAGACAGACATGCAATTAGTATAGATTTGCTTATGTTTCTGCATAATAGACCTTTTGTATTTTAAGCATTGTAAAACCCCTGAATGGTTTCTAACTGTGGACAATGATAATCTTAAACTAATGGCAGTGAGTGGGAGTAACATCAGACTGGCAGGGAGATGTTTTTCTCTGATGTCTGTCACATTGTCATGGATTACTATTTTTAGCTGTGTATTCATTGCCAACACACAGTCCCCAAAGAAGTAGCTGTTCCAGACTTCTAATCAGAGTATTATAACATTAAATGTCCGCTTGCAATCTATACCAAACTCTCTGGGTCCTGTGTACGCGTCGCCATGGGGCAAACCTGTATGCAATCCAGGCAAGGGTAACCTTAACACATTTACATTTAATTTGATTTCTAGAGTGCCAAATCATAACATACCAGGAACAGTTGACATCTCTGTCACTGTTTATTTTGACAATAAGAATGATATTTATAGATGTAATGATGTTATTTATGAAAGCAGCTTCAGGTAATAATAATACTTTTTTTCTTACTCTAGTTGAGGGTTAAGTTCAGGGGCACCTTGCTGAGCCCTATCAGGGCTAAGCAAATACAATTTGACTGATTTACAGAAATGGATCTTTGAATGAAGCAATGGAATTTATTGTGTGGTACAGCATTAAAAACAACGATCCCCATTTACAGAAAAAGTCTCTTTAAAGTTCACATTGGTCCAACTTTCTGCTGAAGAAGTGTCCTTCCCCCCAAAAAAGGTTATATATCACCCCCCACTGAGGCTGATTCATTCATTAAAACTGTCTTGAAAGTGGTTTGCAAAAAAAACTCTTCAGAGCTAAATCAGTGAGGACTGAAACACATTTAGTGCAGAAGAAAAGGCAACTCAGAGGAAATACATTGTTTGCATGACTTCTAATAATTTCCATGTGTGCGGATACAGCAGTGACTGTGAGGATATAGTTAGAGCATCTGAAATCTGACCAGGGCTTGAATGGGTCATACACAAGGTATTAAAGTACCTTATGTTCTGTCTTGAGACCATGACTGTGGTTTACATTTCCTGGAGTTGAAGTAGAACTGTGCCAGACAGACAACATATGTCTTATTACCTTGTACCTAATAGGCTATGTAGAAAAAAGCATTTAAAAAAGGAGGAAATGAAACTCATGTTTTACTTAATAGCCATTTGCAGGATGTTCAACCAAAACTCTATCAGTTCAGGACCAACAGAGCAGAGCAAGAAAATAGTTGACAATAAACTCTCAGGCTTTTATTGAGTTGTTTCTATAAGACATCAATATGTTAATGCACTTTAAAGGATACTCTGCATATCTGAAACAATTCTTTAGTGTTTTTCATGTTAGTAACTCAACAGCCCTACTGACCAGATTTGCTTTTGAACTAGCATGTCAATCCAGTGTGTGAGACGTGTGTTTTAAACCATTCAAATGAAACGAACCTACCGCTCGCCTTCAGTTGCACTACGGCGAGATAGAAATGTGGAAACATCAACTTTCTTCATTTATATACATCTTGTCATGAAGTCTACATTTGTGTCTTTCAACTGTTTGAATGTCCACGTAATTACATATTTATAATGACTTTGATGAACATTTGTGTTTGCTGTCTTTTAAGCATACATGTGAGTCCCCCCCCCCCACGTTATTACTGATGTCACAGAAACCGTCCTCACTGTAGAAGTCATCATTCATAACACGTTAATGACAGAAGCTTTGATTGTAGAAAAAAGGAAGGATTCTGTTGGTACTCGATGCAGATTATGAGTTGTTTTATCGTAGGTCACAGTGTCTTGTTTGCGATTAGCACACAGAAAGATATTATCACACATTCAACTGTCAAATCCAAATGTCCAATCCTTTTTTCAAGGGAAGAATGTCACGATAATCATTTAATAAAATGTAATGATTTCTTGCAGACACATCAGGTGTTATGATCACAGGACACTTCTAACAAAGTATAACTCTAATACACTTTCTGATGCATCAGTCTTGCAGCATTCACAGAATTTAATGGATTTTCAATGGCTCTTGGATTAGTTCATTAGTCAAGGAGGCTACTGTTGCTGATTGCCTGCCACTCACACTGCAAACAGCAATAAGCATTTGATACATGTTTTAGATTGCAGTAGTTGTGAGTATTGTAAGCAGTGTTCAATGCTAAGTGAATTCACTTGGTTTCTCCATATGTTGACGTGACAGTTGCCTCACCCAACGAGGGGTTTAAAATACACCAGCCAGGATCAGCCCTAATGTCCTGCGGTCGGACGTCCCCTGGATGTTGGTACAGTTTTATCCATAGATATGTTGGAAGCAGTGGAACAGTAGGAGAGAAGGAGGCAGAACTCTGGGATAGTTTCTGCAAGTATTCTACCAGTGTTGCCTCACTCGCCCTTGAATTGAGGACGCCTCTTCTCCTTGAATGCAGCCAAACCCTCCAATCGATCTTTGGTTGGTATCACCTGAAACAACAACATAAATATATCAGTCAGAAAAAGAAGCACCTATTCATTTACTTAATCTTGTCCCATTCCCTGAAGGAGACATGGAAGAGTTGTTTCATATTGATGATGTGAGATTAAAAAAGTGTTAATATATAAAACACCAATACTAATGGAAGCCTTTAAGATGAAGGCAGGATATTACAGTGCTGTGGGATTAAATACCAGTAAAACACAAGCCAGATCAAGTCAATTAGAGGTTATACACGTCTGTTTTGATACATTCTATTGTAATTGCCCAGCCCTAGTGTTGTTTCACACACACTACATATTGCAGGTCATTACATCGGTCAGAGAGTTTTCTTATACTGAGCTCCTTCCACTAACAAAGGGCAGTGTACAAAAGCTGCAGACATTTACTGCACATGAAACTTTGTTTTTTCAGTATATTTACAACACATAAGCTAATGCATATATATCTTTCTTTAATATACAGTATAAAATAAACACTGAAAGTAATGACATACGCATGCCCTCGTTTTTAAGTACTACAGTGGGAAACACTTACGAAACGCAATACTTTTGCACTGAAAATGTTTGACCGGTTGTTTTCGAGAAATGGTGCCCAGCTTGGCCAAAGGTGTATTTACCCTTGTGGAGGTGAAGGAGCTTGGAGAGCACCTACACCTGCACAACAGAGGATCATTCAGTGCAGGTGAGAGATGTCAGGAGGACACACGCTGGACACGCACAAAGTCATAGAGAAGCACAGGGACTGAGACGGATGTGGAGAGACACACGAGACAGGAGCAAAGCTCACGGAGACACTCCTGAAGTTTAAGTTGGACTTTTGAATTTATGTTTACGTTTTGATTTAATAAAATATGCTAAAACCTGAATGGTTTGTCTCCGGCTGATGTGGTGAGAGCCCTGTGGCATGGTCAACTGCCACAACCCTGTATAAACCACACACATGAACAGCAATAAAGAAAATTCTGTTTAATTAAAACAAAACAAAAAAAGACTATAAAATCTTCATTGCAGAGAAACCAGGTAAGATTACCACAAACACAGGCCAAGCAAACAGCCCATTCCAAACAGGCACTGAGTTAACAAGTTGAAAAGTAGAGATTCTCACCTGGGCGTAGCACGCCTCTTCAATGGCCAGGCCTGTAGATAAATCCACCTGAAAGAGAATTTGGTATCTCAGTGAATTCAGATTTCGTATAAAACAACAATAAGATACAGTGTATGCAACTGAAAAGCATATGTATTTAAAAACTCAAGACTCTCTCTGAATAGCCCTCTTTTATGAGAGTCAGCTCCTATCACCATCTCAACACATACAGACTCTATCTTAGTACAAAAGTTTATGATTTGCAGAATAAACGTTGATATACATTTGTTCATTTGGGGCATGTGTGCTCACACATGTACAGGGGTGTATGCTAATATCAGCAAATGCAATTATGGAAAACTTGTTGCAAAGAAGAATACAGAATCACCTTTTAGGGATTATTTTAACTTTAAATCGGACACAACCAACAAGCCAAAGGTCGTACATGAGGTTATTTTGTTGTGTAAATGTGTCGTGCGGCAAAAGATTCTGACACAACAAATCTGCACAAGCATTTGCTGATACATTATTGTGCTGAGCATATTGTGTGTGTGTGTTTTTCACAGTATACATATAGAACAAACATATGTATACTATAACGCAACTGTTCACACCGGGTATTAAAGGTACAGTGTGTAGAATTTTGTGATATCTAGTGTTGAAGTTGCATGTTGCAGCTGAACACCCCTCACCTCACCCTCTCCTTCCATACATGAAAAAGAACCTGTGGTAGCTTCAGTTGTCATAAAAACTCAAAAGGTGTTTAGTTTGTCCAGTCTGGACTAATGTAAAAAACATGTCGGCCTCTGTAGAGAGGGTCCCCATGATGTAAATATGAAGTATTTAAATATAAAGGGTCTTTTCTGGGGTAAAGAAAACTACAATTCATACAATTTAGATGAAATGAACTAGTGAAAACATCATGAGGATTATTCTACGTTAAATATCTGCCAATAGATCCCTTTCACCTAAATCTTACACACTGGATCTTCAAAGTGTGTCCTGAATGTGTTTCCTGTGTCCACTTCCACACTCTTTTTGATGAAGACCGAGAGAGCGATAGGAGTCAGGAGGACTGACTGAGTAAATGAATTCATATATATATAAATATATATACAGTATATATATTAGCTAAATAAATTCCCCCAAAAGATTTTGATCGATTCAATCCGATGATGGAGAGAGACGATATATTCGTCCAATTGCCCAACCCTAGTGAACACACCCTGAGTGGACAAAGACCTGCTGTTGAATTATGGGACATTGTGCCAGAACAGTATACTGTCAGTGTCCTGCTCCATGCAGAATGGACGAGGCATGTGATGACGGCAGTGCTATAGGTGGAGAAACACTGCTGTTAATATTAAGCTAAGATGTTTGTAATATCCAGACTTACCTCTATCCCCTGGTTGATCGCAAGTTTTGCCATCCTTACTGCAATCGGGCCCTGTGTGAGTCAAAAATTGGATTGTCTTATAGATTACAAAGTCTTATAGATTGCTGTGTGTGATATGAATTGCTCTTGTAAATTGTTTGGAATAATAAAGTATAGTAATACTATTATTGCAGGACTTAAAGAAGTAAAAAATTGTCTAGTCAAGGCATTCACAACTAAATCTTCTTTTTGTTCTTCTCTCACTGTACAGTAGAACTTGTAGAACTTTCTTAATACAGATGTGTGCTGGTCAGTAAGGTGTTACCTGAGGGTTGATCTCTCGGGCGAGCTCCAGAGCCTGCAGGTAGGCAGCATCACCACTCTTATTCTGCTCCACAGATTTACTGACAAGACCCAGACGACAAGCCTCTGTTCCGTCTACCACCCGGGCCGCAAAGATCAGCTCCTTAGCAAGAGAGACACCGATCACCCTGGGGAGACGCTGTGTACCACCTGCAAAAGAGAGGAGAAAGCTACATGGAACATGGCCTTGACCACAGATGTTGAGGATAATACGGGTTGTCAGCTATACAAACATTTCAAATGAGTCATGATAGAAAGGTTCGAGGCAAAAAGGGTAGGAGCATCAAGCAGTAAACATGTATTCACTGTACAATAACTGGGGACTCCTTCAGACGTAATAAAACAACAGGAAAAAAGTAAAACGCCTACATTTTGCTGGTGTGGTGTCATCCAAGTGTCCGTAAGCCCTGACATTCAAATTCGACTCGAAACAGCTTCACTCACACCATGTTTTAAGGCTTAAATTCCTCTGATATCCTCCTCGGAGCCGTGTTTACGTTCGCACGCACACGGTGCACGGAAGCTCTTGCCCAAGCACACGTGCAGGTTGCGCGTTAGCACCATCGCTACTTCCGGTTACAGATTTTTAGCCTTAAAATGGTGTCAATGACGCAGTGTCAAGTCGAATATGAATGTTGAGGCATATGAATGTCCGCACTGCTGGTTGGATGACACCACACCAGCAGTATGGAGGAGTGTTGTGTTTTTTTTCTGTTGTTTTACCACGTTTGAATAATTGATCACAAGTTACTTCAATTGTATTGGGTTTGGCTGCAACACTGTTGACCCATAAAACTCCTAAAGTGTTTCGTGGACTCAAACACTTCACCCACCCCTCCATCGGCACGGTGGGGAGTAAATAATGAGTGAATTTAAATTTTTCGCTGAACTTTTCCTTTAAGCCTTTATATGAATATAATGCAATCTGATGTGTTGTTATTGAACACACACATTAAACATTCACTGGACTGATTAAAGTCAATGAACCCTTGTGTTTAATAACTGGTTGAACCTCTTCTGTAGCCATGGATCAGTCCTATACAATAGTTTATTCCTGGTTTATACAATGCATATACAGCATTAGTATAATTCCATTCATATTTTTATATATTAAGTAATGCACTTATCACTTCCTGATGGATATTTTGACTCTTGCTGCTGTAATATTGCAGATTTCCCAATTGTGGGACTAATAAAGGATTCTCTTTATGTGTATGTTGGGAGTAAAACTAATGGGATACCTATTACAGTAAATTATACAATGATTATTCTGCTTTTGTGACAAATTATCTTACGGCCTGTGAGCAGAGGTTTTGTGGCCTAGAACCAGTCAACAGCACAGGGGTAAAAAAAAAAAAAAAATGACCTCAGCATATAATTGCTCACCATGCAATCTCAATGTCTCCAATTCAAGTCTAATCTGGATTTGTACTTTCACTTTTAAAGCAAAGCAAAATGTGTGAAAAATACTTCTAAAAAGAAACAAAGGAGAATTCTGAATGAACCATAGACTGTATATAAAGAGGAATGAACATGTAAAACAGAGTGATATTAAATAACATTTTTTTTCTTTAGTATGTTCAATGTGGAACCTGAAGACATTACCTCTCCCTAGGCTTTGACCTTGAAAGGTATTGTGAATATCTATGGCAGACCTCATGGCATTCTGCATGTGCAGCCAGTGACTGAGAAAGACATCCCATTTACAAAGGCCCACCTCACAGCTGCTGGCAGGAAGCCTCGAACACTTGCAATCATTCAGGCAGTTTTAAATGATCAGTTTAACCAGTTGAAGTGTAGACAAAATTTACATTTACGCCATAAATTAAAATAAAATATATCCTTACCTGCTCCAGGAATAATTGCAAGTTTAGTTTCAACTAGTCCCATTTTGGCAGTATTGGCTGGAAGGACCAAAAAGCAGTAGTTAGCACAATTTACACATAAACCCAACTAGAATCGATGTATGATACAATACAGAGAAAATCAAAAACTAATAATATATAATAACTTTACTATTGATCATATCTCCACCATTGTTTAAATCAAGATCCAAACACTAGCTCCTGAGAAATTGACTAAAATGTAGGAATATGCGCAATCTTCCAATGTTAAGGAGAAGTCATAAAAATATTAGTTGATTTGCATCCAGATGTAATAGGTTCTACCTGGACACAGGCCCCACCCCACCGTCAGTTTACGGCAAACTGTACCATTTTGTGTAACACTGCTGATAAACCAACTAACAGACCCAGGCAAAATAGATCAGGCTAATTTGAATTAACTAGTTTACTCAAAAGGTTTGCTCTGTGCATCAATAAAGCCATTTCTTAACACAGAGAAGGTTTGCAGGGCTTACACACACATGTAATAGTTGATTCCATGTTTGTCACAGAAAATCAATGCATCTCATATTTAAACAGACTTATCATTTTAGTCTCCTACCATCAGCTGTTAGTAATTCTACTATAACAAACATTAACAGAGCTTTGCACACAGACCAGATCTTTAACTGTAGCCTCAAAATAAAACCTTACACGCAATTCTGATGTCACAAGCAAGGGCCATTTCCAAGCCTCCTCCTAAGGCAGCTCCATCAATTGCAGCAATTGTTGGTACTGGCAGATTACCTGTAAAAGAAAGACAATATGGTAAAGCCATAAAATGTGTTGTATGTACCTCACTGAACCAACAACATTATTCCACTAGAACTTACCAGTTATAAATCTCACTAGATTCTTCTGGCAGAATCTAGTCTATGTTCAGGTTTTGTGTTTAGAAACAAGTCACCTACAGAATTCATCACATTTGCCACAAACTATGAAACTATCTCTCGTTTCAAGGCTTAGATGTGGAAAATGTAGCTGTGCCTCAGGCTCATACTGTATTTTTAACATTTATGATAGAGAATATTTTTTTCCATTGACCAATTATGCCAACAGTCATTTACTTAACTGATGCAGTGTGTGATATAGTTATAGACCCCTGATAATATGGCTCTGTATCCTGGTGGGAAGCCCAATACTTCATTGTGCATCATTTTTTCCCCATTCTTGTAATGATAATAACAAAGGTACAATCAGTTAAATTGACCTAACCCTGAATAAAAAGGTCAAGGTGTAACATCTGCAGTGAATTTACAAACAGTCACAATCATTTTTTACCCAGCTCTGTGATGAGTGCTCTGGCTTTGGACACAAATGGCCCCACTTCACTCTGGTGCATTTTGGCTCTCTCCTTCAGATCTGCACCTGCACACAGACAGAACGTATCAGCATTACCAGTGGCTTCCTCGAACATGCAGCACAGAGTGCAGCGATCTGCTAAAACATTCAGATCTCTACCAGATCCAAACTGAGATGAGAATTGCATTGGCAAAAACGGCCACAACTGAAGAACAAGAGCAAATGAAAAGCCATTCCAACAGTACATTTCTAGTCAGAAATCCCTGTAATGTCCTGAATAAGGTGAGTTTACCTGCACAGAAGATCCCAGGAACCAAACTACAGAAAATGACACTACGCACTTTGTTATTCTTCTTGATATCTTCCACAGCTTCAAACATCTGAAAAGCAGAACAAATCAAAATTAAAAACTGCACATCTATAACCTTCTCCAAATTTTTTGAATGTAAAACTTATTTTACATCACCTAAGAACAATGAGAATTAATTGGAACATACTTTAATGCTCCAGTGTGTAAGATTTAGGTGAATGGGAACTATTAGCAGACATTTAATGTAGAATAATCCTCATGATGTTTTCATTAGTTCATCTAAATGGTATTTTTCTTTACACCAGAAAAGGCCCTTTATATTTAAATACTTTATATTTACATGGAGGGGGTCCTCTCTACAGAGGCCGCCATGTTTTTTACATTAGTCCAGACTGGACAAACTAAACACCTTTTGAGTTTTTATGACAAATGAAGCTACCACAGGTTCTTTTTCATGTTTGGAAGGAGAGGGTGAGGTGAGGGGTGTTCAGCTGCAACATGCAACTTCAACAGTAGATATCACAAAATTCTACACACTGTACCTTTAAGACAAACTCAGACATCATATATTACAAGAGATCAGAAAATACTGGACCTAATAACTTGAATTTAAGAGGTCCAGGAAATCTACGATACTCTGTGTCACATCGACTGAACACTCTCCATTCACTGCTGAGACGTCAAAGTAAAGCTGGGATTGTGCTTCTCAGAACATGTACATAGATGTGAACAATGCAGGGCATAATGGGTCATCATTAACATGAAGGCTTGGAAAGGAACCACACAGGTCGTTCATATCTGTGCGTCAAGCATGTTGACTGGCTGAGTCAACTCGAATCATAATAACCTACATGCTAAGAGAAGCAGGATTCCAGCTTCACTGTCTGTCACCAATCACTGAGTTTAGCCTTCATCATGCCAAAAGTAGTAAAAAGGTTGATAGTAATACATACCATTTTTACCAGATTTTTGCTTATGGCATTTTTGGCTTTTGCTCGATTTATTCCCACGACAACAATACCTGAAAGACAATGTTAAACCAGGCTGAATAACAATGGAACTCTTTAATAACAACATGTTAATGACGAGCCACATTATAGACGTCACATAACACAATGTCTTTACTATAAAGCACATGGTCAGATCATCTGCAGAAACTCAGGATTCAACACGAGCGGCGCAAAAATGAAGACACCATCGGAAACGTCAAGAGAATCGCCTGAATCCTCTGGATGAACTGTTGCTGTTGGGAATTCATCTGAGTGGAGAACCTTGCGTTGCATTGTGCATGTGTGGAAGGAAACCTCTGGAGAAAGCCCGGACCCAATTCCTCCGCAGTTCCTCCAGAGGTCTTGTCTGAAAACGGCTAGAGAATGTGTTATGACATGGAACAAAGGTCAATGTGTCAGGAAAATGAACTGCCTGTCAGCGTTGAGTTGAGCTCGGTCAGTTTTCTCTCAGGCTCAGACAGAAAAAAACAGTGGCCCGAGTCGCTCTCTATTCTTCACAACTGCGATGTCCACTGAACCGTTTCACTTCTGCTGCAGCTCGATGTGTTATTCTGTGAGCAGGAGGATCATTCTGACAAAATAAGGTTTTGAGACCCAACATAATAATTTGGGGTTTCTCCTGGTGAAAGACTGCAGTGTGTGATCCCCTGTTGTCTGTCAGTCACGTGGAATGAACTCAACCGCAAGATTCCTTAGAAGACAGCAAGTTGTGTAACCGCAGTGATTCCACAACTTTGAAAGTCGTGTTGTGTGCACTTGGCTTAAACTGCCAAATGTGAATGCTTGATACAGGCTGTGTCTTTCTGTGACAGTAGACAAATGCCAGTGAGTTTGTCATTGATAAACAGGCTGGATACGCCGTCTGATGCTAGCAGACTTGACATGAATTTTGCAAACTGTCGTCTCTCTCTTGCTGCAGGGGCCCCAGGTGTGGAGGGAGGGATCGACTATAGAATCATCAGTGCAGATACACTAGGTATAGGGTGAACAGTTTTTCTCTCAGTTCACTCTGAATAAACTGAAAACTCTTTTCTCAGGACGTGTCATTCTGTTTTAAACAGGAACGTTTTATGATAACCGGCAGCACACAGCACTGTTCACAAGAGTACTATACATCTTGTGCGTATCTTCTTTTCTACGTTTTAAAAACAGCTAAGCGTACAGTGGAATCGGACTGACTCCGCAGTGGTTCTCCTTTCCTAACTCCTTACGCCTTCTCCTTCTCTGCATCTTCCCTTGACCTAGCGACCACCAGGGTCAATGAACAGTGGCTGAGAAAGGAGATTATTAGTTGTTGTTATTTATTATTAATAATACTTCTGATAGTGACGTCAGCGCGTACAGCCTGTGGCGGTGGGCGGGGCCCCGGTTGGCGTCCATCAGCATGTCAGACTATGTCTTCAGAGAGTTTGATGGAAGTACGTGCTGGGGCATCAGTCTCTTCACCCAGAAACATGACTGATGTGGTGACCGGACTTACCGTCGTCTTCTCCGTCCAGGTACCTGACGCGCAGGTCGTCCTTGGGGTCGGAGCTGTAGTGTCGCGCCGCCGCCGCCGCCGCTGGACCGTGGAGCCGCACGGCGCGCGACTCTGTCCCGGTGAACGCAACATGTCTCGTGCAGGAGAGGGCCGCCGCCAGGCTGCACGCGCCGACGCGGCGTGCCGCCTGCACGCGGAAGCTCTGCATCAGGACCGCCATGTTGACGAGCTGCTTGACTTTCAACTGTGAACCCGGTCACGTGTGCGCGTCACGTGACTTCCCCACGGGAGACGCAGCCCCGTGTGTTTAGGAGAGAATATGAAAAAGAAATCCAGAAAGAATCCACGGATCACTACTGATGCCTTCCATTTAGTTTAATATCACCTCTAACTAGCTTAGTGACTTTGTTAGCTCTGTTTTTACTGTAATGATCTGCTATTACCATGCATTGTTGTACAAATCTTCAGTATCAAGCTAATATTAATATGTTAGGACAATAAAATCTGATAAGGATATGTATCATAATACCATATTTGCTAATGTATAAAATATGAGTGGCTTGAAAATGTTGCCACATAAGTGATAAATCACCAGCTCCTTGCAAGGTTATTATGGTTTTGAAGTTTTCATTAGTTTTTATTTAGTTTTTCAGGTTGCTTTTTTATTTCAGTTTAGTTTTAGTTGGTTCAACATGTGATTGTGTAGTTTTAGTTTAGTTTTTATTTTGAGGAATCGACTAGTTTCAGTTTAGTTTTTATTTAGTTTTAGTCTTGATTTTTCCAGGTATTAAGAGAAAGCCTTGACTTATAGAAGCTGAAAAAGGATGAAACAATGTGTGACACCAAATATGGTTTATCAAGTCCTTTCATTTCATTCTTTAACCATCACCTCTAGGACAGGCACTAATCCAGGGAGAAAACGAAGTTGAATTAATCTGCAATATTCAGTTCAGTTTTAGTTAGTTTTGCATTGTTTATTGTAGTTTTTATTTAGTTTTCGTTTTTTTTGTAATTATCATTTTTATTTTTATTTCAGTTAACTAAATTATTTTTTCATTGCTAGTTTTAGTTTTAGTCTTAGTTTTCGTTAACTATAATAACCCTGGCTCCTTGCTTTGCACAATGCTATGTTGGACCAATTAGTTTTCAGCTTACTTTGGAAAAACATATTTATTATTAGTTATTTCTTCATTTGGTTATACCATAAAATGCTTCTAGAGTTCTGCAGTCAAGCATCATCATGGTTTTGATCCACAGCAAAAGCTGAAGTCAGCATCTAACAGTAGTTATGACCGTGTCCAGAGATGGACTCGACAATCAATCACAACCCTGGTAATATGTTCGATTCTAAACAGTCAGCTGGGACAGATCTGTGTTTAAATGTATGCTTTGAAGAAATGATACCTATATAGGGTTAATATTAAAGCTACAAAAATATAAGAGCACACATGATTCAGTGATAAGACATTTATTGTAAACAAAAGAATCACTGTTACAATATCTTGATGAAAGTGGTCATCATCATCAAAGAGATATTCCAAAGTATGACAACACAAGCATACACATCAGTCATTTGAAATGAACCACCCAACATACAGCAGGGGTACGATGGCTGTAAACTGTAATAATTCAATTACAATTAAGTGAAGCTGTAATGCAGAATCTCTGGAAACACTTTTGAAAATGAATTATTAGTTCACCAAAATGTGACGGAAGAAATGTCAGAGCTTTATAAAGTCCAGTTGTCACTTCCATCAGATGGTAGTCACAGTTGTCCAGCCAGTGTCACACACATTGCCAGTTTTACCAGCAGTCTGGAAGCTTAAAGTCACCAACAAGACTTTTCAAAAAAAACTGTGAAGCAGTGACAGTAGCAGAGAATTTAAAAGTCACCCTCCAATTTGCATAAATGATCAGTGTCAGTAACAGTATGTGTACTTGCAATTCACAAAGATGTTCTAATCATAGGACATTTTGAGAGAAAATGTTTCAACCAAGTAAAAAAAACATGAAATAACTAAATGAAGAAATAAGCACACGTATTTTATGACATGAGGAAAAATACTGAAGCTGTGAAGGCTGCTTTGTTAAGTACAGGTGTAGGACAGTGCAGACCAAAATAACCTCACTGAGGAAGGTCATGAACAGTCTTTGTTTGTATGCGGTTAGAATGTGATCCCACCTCAATCTGAGCCAGCTGCAAGGCCTATTAGACATAATAGAACATATAAGTTTAGTCAATGGAAATGTGCCAATTCAAAATCTACTTTCCATTAATACAAACCAAACTACAGGGCTCTTTCCAGGAAGTGTCATCACATTGAGTGGGGAATTATTCTGAAATGACAAACCTATGAAATAAAGCACCAAGTAAGCAGGGGCATGGACTGTTACGTTTTCTCAATACAATAACCTTATTACATTACTCAAAAGGTTGGGGGTTTAAGCTTTAAGTTTTGGCCAAATTGCCCCCAGCTCCGCCAGTTAAACAGGGAATGGAAATAGCTGCAGGCCTGGTTGGAGCCTGCAGAGCAGTGACAGTAGGTTTGTGATGACAGTTAAGACCCCAGTGAGCAGTTATAAACCATCTCATAGCAATAAAATAAAGGTTTCACACGCAAGTGTTACACTGATTTCTCGGATGAATTTACAATTCGCAAATAGTGCGTATCATCTTTATTTGGTCAATCTTCTCTGCACAGAGAACCAGGCTGAAGCGGAGTTAGGCCACTCATTTGTTGTTTCATAACCATGTATTATTTCAAAAGGTTCCTCCCACTCTCTGATGTACTCCCATTTAAACTAATCTAATTATTCATGGGGCCATCAATTTACTTCTTTTTCTGACTCTGTAAAGTGACCTTCAGTACTTTGAAAGGCACAATATAAATCCAAGTTATTATGAGGTTTCTCTTAACAGAAACATTGATTTCAATCAGAATTTGTTCCAGTTTCTATCACAGATCCAACTATTGTCAAGATTTTTCACATTAAAATCCTTCCTCAGAGGCCATTGTTTCCTGGTAAGCTTCAAATATTTCATGAAGAATTAACTCTCATTGGTGACAACTGAACAGTGGTTGAAAAAAACCACCATAGTACTCAATGGATGAAAACTGTTTTTAAAAAGAGAAGCTGAGGAGCAGACACAGCTCTGTTGTTGAGCTGAGCGAGTGCAGTGGTATTGAGCACTGATTATTTTGTAATTATACCTCAGCCTGTAACAGTGAGCAGTCTACAGGTTAAGGCTCTGCCATTATGTCAACACATTTTATTTGAAAACTTACAGTGATGAAAACATTTTTAACCCTAATAACCACACAGTGCAACAGCAAATGAAGTGGAAATGCAAAACAAAGGTTATTCAGAGGAACATCCCTTTGATGACACACGATGATCAGTGGTGCTTCTGTTTGACTCTATCACAGAATCTTGCTGTGTTGCCATCAGTCTTTTCAAAGGAGGCCACTTCAGCAGAAAGGGAGGCAAAGTCCTGTTTTATATACAAGTGCTCAGCATGTGAGTGTGCATAGGAAGGTTCTTTTACATCCACGGCAGCTTTGTTTGAGATTGGGCTTGAGGTTCGCCTGCTACTCTTGCAGCCATCCCACAGTGCATCTGTGCTGCTTCTGTGCCACTGCTCAGACCGGTGGCTCCAGCCCTGCATGTTGGTGACCTGTACTGACAAAGGGCACAGGGGGGACTGTGTGTACTCTGAAGAGTCGTGAGTGGTCCGGCAGTGTCCTCCCTCTGTTATGCTGACTGGAGATGAGGAATTTCCAGATAACTCATATTCAGGGTCAATGGCCTCCACTTTGATTTGAGTGGTTCTGGCTTTAATCCGCAGTTTATGGGGCAAAGCTGAAGAACTGGTGTCGGGCACTTTGTGTGTGGAGACAATGACACTTGTTGGGCCAGCTGTAGCTGGCATGAACCCTTTGGGGACTTGCTGCTCATCTTCACCATCTGACAATTTGCTTACAGCACCATCATCTGAGGTCCGAGGGGAGTTACTGGATGACCTGGTGATCTGCAGTAATGAAGCAGGTTGGGAGTAAACACCGGATAAAGGACTGGCTATGTAGTTTCTATAGAGCTCATAGGGACTACTCCTCTCCTGTGCATACCTGCCATTCTCTGCTGGTTCTTGCTTGACCTCTGTGGTATTGCAGACACTGAAGCTACCCTGAGTTGCAGTGCATGTCTCAGGCATGTGAGGTGAATGCTTGATGACTGATATGCAGCTACTACGCAAATGAAGGGACTCCAAATCCCTGCTGGAAGAACCTTGATCAGCGGTGGGTGGAACAAACTCCTGGTAGAGATTGACAGCGGCAGAGCTGGATAACTTCTGGGCTTCTTGGGCATATGCAGCTGAGCTCAAGAGGCCGAACTTCAGCTTCAGTGACAGGAGCTCAGCTTTGAGGGAGGCATTTTCCTCTCCCAGGGCCATCAGCTTGTTCTCCAGCACCATGTCGTTAATGCGCCGCTTCTCTCTTGAGCGCTTGGCCGCCTCATTGTTTTTGCGACGCCTCTCCCAGTAAATGTTGTCTTTCTTCTCCTCTGGGATAAACTCCCTTTTCCTACGGCATGTAGTTTTAGACTTAAATGGATTAGCAGATATTTTGTGACCCATCAGGTCTCTGTTAGCCCCCTGTAGGGCCACAGCCAGGACCAGGGCATCCTCTCCACTGTAGGACTCACTGGAGTCCACCTCTTGCTTGATTGATTGCATATTACCAACGTCTGCTACTAACAATATGCTGGAAAGTCTTTAACTGCTCACCATAATGCATGTATGCATCGACAGCCACATTCAATTAATCCACTGGAGAATATCTGGAAAACACAATGAGGTTTAAATGTCAGTGTTGAATTGAAACAAAGTTAATCATGTTAATCAATAGTAATAAAGTTCTGTATTTTCTCTAGGGAGGATGTGTACCTTGCAGATGATTCAGTATATAACTAAATACAGACAGTTGTATTGGTATTATAAGATGACAATGTTTTGCAACGATTCAATGGTATTTCACATTTTACATACTGTATTATTTGCATTCATGTCAACTTACTAAATAATGTCCTTTAAATCTAACTTTCAACAGAATAGTCTGAAATGCAGCAAAAATGCAGAACATTAAGCACAATCATTTCCTACTGAGAATGAAGTTTCTTTATGGAGATGTTGCCTGATTGTTTAGTTCTCCTCCTTGTCCATTGGTGTAGCCTGACTCTTACTTCAGTGTATGACTTGAAGTAAACAAGCAGATGAGGATAATTTTGTTCATGATTCATGTCATTTCTTTTATGTTGAATGTAATTACATGAGTATAAATCTGAGCTTGCAACTTCTCAGCAAGTTCTGTCACAGATTTGTCTTATGAAATGGAAAGTAAACCCAAGGATGTCCTCCATTTTCTCACAAAGGCAAATGAAAGACCACACACTCACACAGGTTGTATGGTGTTGTAGTTGTATGTAAGGTCAGGAACATACTTCAACATATGGGTGCTTTTAAACAAATTTGAATATTGTGAATATATTAATGACGAGAAATATTTTCCATCAGTTATTTAAGAAAGTGGATCATTGTGGAGCATTTTTAAACTTTTGATGATTTCCTCAGCTCAAATAATTAAAAACCATATCTCAAAATATTCAAGATTTAATTTCAAGTAAAAAAAAAATCACTATTCATACAGTATAAATACGATGTGTCTCTCTGCCTAGTTCAGTCCATGTAACTACAATCATAGGGAAGACTAATCACCGATTAGTAAGATTTGTCATGGGAAGGTGTGTGGCAGTTAACAAGGGTGGAAAATATATGCAGAGTCAACAAATCTAATAACTACGCACTTTTTGTTAAAACTATTCTAATTCTGTATGTAGAGACACTTTTTTTTTTGCTTGTGTTAAACGCTAACTCTAATTTCTAATCCTGGGTTTAAAATCATTTTTCAATCGGAGGGTTGCCTTAACAGGCCTGTATTTGGATTCCAAGCTCCCATACACCCAGAAAAGCCACAAAGGACTGCAGACAGATGTGATCATAACATGTGGCCTAGCAGGGGCTAACACACAGAAACAGCCTGTAACCGGAGGCCTTCCTTCCACAGTCACACACCCCCATAACTAATGTTAATTATGAGTGCAGCAGAAAGACGTCCCCATATAGAGATGAAGAGGGTTAAAGGGCGTGGTAACATTTCTCCTCTGACTGTGTCCTAATTTTGCTGCTGGTGTAGGTCAACATTTATTTGGTGAGTGAATAGGAAATGACAGGTGGACTTGTGTATATGGGGTGTGAATTTATTTGAATGAACCTGATCCCAGAGAAGCCACACGTCACTTCTTTCGTTATCTACTTGGCAACTTGCAACTCAGCAAAATGTTTGCCTGCTTGACGTAAGCGGCCACAGGAGAAGTAGTCCACTGTAAATCATCTCACTGTAAGGATCCATGTGTTTAGAGGGGCAGTTTGCACAGATGCTGGGGATTGGACACAACATGGCTGCTGTTATCGCTCGCTTTTGTCTTTCCTAAGGAGGAAACATGTGACATCAGGACTAAATGTAGAGGACACGTGATGAGGATGGGTGGTAGTATGACTGCACCGGGCCGGTTCACCAGAAGTTCAGAGGGCTCGGGTCGGACCGAGGCGGTCTTACCACATTCTCTCATTGTGTCCACATTACACAATACCGAGTCCCTCTGGCTGCCAGCACTTTCTATGGCTGCACACATTATGAAATATCTGCTGTGTGGCAATCACAACACAGGCCTGTGTTTGTGGATTGAAACAAGAAACTTATACATGATAGTTTGAATAATCTGTGGTTATAGAAGACAGGTCATTAACAAGGTTCCTTTAGAAAAACACATTCAGGCCACAGATCTCAGGCTACGTGCTCAGACACTGTTTACTTACATGACATCATAGTTTACTCATGACGGTGAAGCTTGCTTTCTAGTTCTGTTGTTATCACGAGGAGAGACCACACGAACTAGTTTCAAGGCCCCTATTGTGATAAATAACTCGCCATTGCAGTCACACACCGACAGCAGCCATCGGGGTTTAATACAGTTATTGCCAAACACGTCAAATGTGGCGCAATGTGTAACCTAACAGGCCCTACGTGTCTGAATAAAATAAAGAAATAAATACAAATAATCTCCTCTGCCGAACGTTATCCAGGGAACTGCCAACACTGCACAGCTCACATTGACCAACACACCAGGGGACCACCACGAGCTCTGCCGCACAGTGAAAACAGAGGTTAGCACACAGGCTAACGTTAGCTGCGCCGCACTGGACTGTGGGCGGTGTTCAGAGCGAGTAAACACTCATGTAACACTGGACACGAGAACATGGGGCCGAGCTGCAGCTCAACTCAGAAACCGTACCTTCTCTGCCCGCGGCTCGTTCCGTCCGCTCTGGTTTTCCGCCTCGCGTCAAGCTCCGGGAGCCGGTCCGCTGGCCCCATCAGTCGGTCCGCAAACAGGAGGTGGTGGCCCGCTGTCCTCCAGGACCCGCTTCCCTTCAAGGTGGCTCCTGACTCATGGATCTATGTTAGTAGGTCACCGCCTCGCTATATTGGTAGCGCCAGGTTAAGTGACAGCCGCCGCAGCCAATCGCGGCGCAGCGGCTCGGGGGGTTTCAGCCAATGACGTCTCAGACGTCGCTGATGCGTCAGCAGAGAGCTCAGAGCTCATAGAAAATGTATGTCGTCATCTGCAATGGTGGTGCGTTCAGAGGCGTCGGTTCACCAGGGGATACTACCACGACACTGCTGCTAATAATATATTATTATTATTGATATCCTGGTATAGTGCTAATATTACAAGTATATAATCTAATCATAAAAA